AGATTGTTACTGATGGAGGAATGCCTCAGGTAACATTGTATCACTAGTGTAGTGTTTTTTAGTCTTGTACCCAAAGGAATGGTTTGAGTTGTGTCATCTCTATTTACTTTAAACTGTACTGTTTGTTTGTAATGTGGTTGCTTGGGTGATTGCCCTGTTAGATGAGGTATTCTAGATGATTTCTAGTGTACTGCTAGTGCTTTTATAACTTAGGGCTGTCTACTGAGTCGTAGTCAGAGCTAGTTAACCAGTAAGTCTCATTTACTTCAGCCATTCTAATGCTTTAAATGGTTGAGAGCACAGTGTTATGTTTAAGTGACACTGCTTGTTGTTTCCTTAAGTGAATGATTTTTCTACTTCTCTTTAGTTATTGAGTGTTTCTCCCTCTATTTGTGTATGGTTTTTGTTTACTGTAACTTGGTAAGCAATTTGAACTATGAAACTGGAGTTCCCCTGTTCCAAATCGTGGCCAACGAGGCTTGCTAAGTTATGCTTAAGACTTTGGTTTCAACTGTTATTTTGGTTTCAAAATAGAAGGGAAATGATCCATGCTTCAAAATTTATAATTACTTTAAATCAACTCTCAGGTCAAGCTTCTTCTCTGTTGTACGATGTCCAGAGTTGAGGAAGAGGAATCCTATGTAGCTTAAAAACCATATTTAGATGCTGTGGGCTCTCCTAGAGTAAAAAAATCTGTCATTCAAGATAGTTAAGGTAGTTCTTGCAGCATGTGGTATATATGCCAAGTTTAGATAGTTCTTGCAGCATGTGATATATATGCTATATCCACACTACTTTATGGCTTTTATGTTAACATTTCATTGCCATTCTATCTGGTAAAGGCTGTAATTTTCAAGTGAATAGAGGGTTCTCCTAGTATAATACTAGCACTCCAGTTCTGAATTACATAGATAAGCTTCTACCTACTAGGACGAAATGGTTATAGAGCAGGCAAAATGGAAGGAAATGGATGTCTCCGCTGTTGAAAAGGGTTGGTCTTGGAAACTGGCATATTTAGAGATAAAAAATTAGGTGTGCGAGGACTGGAGATGAATAGAGACAAGAAGAAAAGGATATGGTTTAGTGTTATTTGAATCTGGTGACACCAAAAACCACATGGAAATTGGAAATTAGGCATCTTGTGTGAATTACTGTTGCTTCAAGATTTACTAAAAAGAAGTGGCTGCTGTCTGTGTATTTAGCATTTGCCTTATGTGTTGTTTTCTTCTAAGTCAAGCTATAGGTCCACCATTCCCATGCAGCTGTCTCTCTATCACTTCTTTTATTCCTATTCCCTATCATATTAAAAGTCCTATCTTCAATTTCCAATTGTTTGACGTGTCACACTATGTTCTTGTAATGTAGCATAATATCCCAAAAAGAGATAAAAAGATCTATACAACCTGTGGTGTGCAAAAATCGAACCGATCAATAAATCGAATAAAAAAATATTGGTTTATTGTTATTGGGTTAACGGTTATTTAATGATTTTATAAAAAAATTATTGGGTTATCGGTTCGGTATTGATTTTTTATATTGGGTTAACCGATAATCCATTAAGAATATAATAATTTACTATTTTAATTTTTAGTCATACATAAATATCAAACAAAAAATATTAATATAATCACTATATTAGACTATAACTATAACGACCCTACACAATTAACATTACTTAATTAATTCTGATCTCTGCATTTACTCTTTAGGTTTTAGTATTACTTTAGTCTTTACATTGACAACGTCAAAAACCTAAAGAACTAACAACGACGACGGCAAAGGTTAGGCAACGACTAGGGTTGTAAATTGTGAGTATTTGCTATACTTTACTACACTAAGCAGAATTTTTTCACTCGATGAGTAATTAGATTTCCCCTTTTTTTTATTATTTTGTGTTAAATTGTTGGACAAGTCATGTATTTGTTTTGAAATCATTTTCTTATTGGTTAAATCGAAAATTGAACTGTTAAAGACCAAAATCAATAAACTGAAAACCGATAACAAATATCTTATTGGTTTGGTTATCGGTTTAGCATATTTAAAAATTTGAAAATCGAATCGATAATACTTAAAACCGAACCAATCGATACACACCCCTAATACAATCACATTTAGCTAAGATTTTACTTTTTAACTTTTGGTTACAATTTAACAGTGACTTAAGAGTTTGAACAAGTAAAAGTGAACGGAACAAATGGAATAACTTTTATCATTGTGTCAAGAGTTTTAAGTTACAAGTTTGCAACTACCCTACACTTATTCTTATGTTGGACACTCCAAAATTTTCATTTTTAAGCTTAAATAAAAGAATGACAAATTAAGTCCACTAGTCATAGAGAAGGTACCGTTTACATTTCAAAATGCAAATTATGCTGTGTGGAACATAAGTCCAGCTAGTTTGATTTCCTCTCCTCAACCATTTGCCAAAATTACCTATAGCCTATAGGGCTTTTCCTAGCAATATTACTCATCTATTCCAATTTGATTGCTTGATTTTGACTTGATACAAAATTTGAGAAAGTAAAGAAATTATTTGAATTTTATAATCTTAAACTAAAATTTTTTTTGTAATTTTTTTGGTCTTATACTGTCACGTGGAAAGTTAGAATTAAAAAATTATCAAATAAAAAAAAGCTAATGGAATATTTGAAAACAATTTTCAAAAAAGAAAAAAGCATAAGAATAGCAACGTTTCGTAGATAAAACAAACAAGCGGAAGAGAAAGGACAAGAAAATGACAAGAAAAGTCCCTTAGGTATAGGAAATGGTTCAAAATGACCCCAAAATATATCTCTAAGCAATTTTGATTTTATAAATTTACTAAAAATAGATTTTATTCCATCAAATATTTAACAAACTCACTAATAGATTGTTTTTAAGAATATTTTTAACCAAAACCACCTTCCATCAAACCTTACAAACCAAACCACCAAATATTGCATTTTACACCAAAAATAGATAAAATTACTTGTATGGTTTCAGTTTATGTGATACTCTTTCTTTATAAATCATCCTAAAAAAATGATATATTTTAATATTTTGTAATAACTTAACTTTAAACTTTGCATTTTATTTATTCTTAATGAGATGATTTATAGTCATATAAATATTTATAACTTTTTTTAGATTATAAGTTTCAAAAGTCTTCATTGTATTTTAAAACTTGGTATCTTGTCAAATAATTTCGCATCATTGGAATGGAGATAGAGTAACAAAAACTATACCTCAAAAGAACCGCACACAACTCTAAAACAAAAAAATTAAGAGTAATAGAAACCAAAAAGAAAAAAACTTCAAATATGAGTTCTTGTAAAAAAGTAAATAAACTTACAGTTCATATTAAAATTTTCAATCAAAACTTGTTAAATAATTAATTAGAATTAATCTATTAACACTTTCAATATTTAAATGATCCCCTTGACTTTAGCTCAAAATATAAGGGACCATTTTTGCTATTTTTTTATGAAGAGAGGACCACCATCTTAGTTTGAATTTGAATTCATAGATGAGTCGTACACTCTTTACTTCGTTCCCACATTTGAAAAATAATAATTTAGTCTCTCTATCTCAATTTATACATATTTTTTTTATTTGATAATTATTTGACAATATCATCTTATTGGGACACACTTAACATTTTTATTTTGATGAAACGTCAATTAAAATAAGCCTTGGAATAACTTTAGTAAAGGACAATCTGGTAAACATAATAAAGATTGTCTTTATTTTTTAAATTCCGTTATAAATCAAACATAAATTGAGACGTAGAAAGTACCTTTTTGGCCATTAAAAAAATTCAAACTCAAAAAAATACATTTTGATTATAAAATTTCAAAATTTAATAGAATTTTTAAAATAACAAAAAGATATTCTTACTTTAGATTACTTACAAAAAGTACTTCAAATAATATTTATTAGAAAAAATCTCTAATTTTCAAAAAAATAGTTTTCAAATATAAAAATAAAATCATTTTATTTTATTTTAACTTTCATAATGAAACATGGTCAAACGCGATAGTTGGGTGCAATAATAAACACATCATCATATAGTTACTACTCCAAGTATTAAGCTTTCCTCAAACGCAATCACCACTTTTTCATCCCCACTCTCCCACCCACCCTAACCTCTGCTTCTCTCTCTCTAAACACAGTCACACAGTCTCTGTAAGTTTTTTGCTCCCTTCTTTTTATCTTCTTCCTTACACTCAAAGTTCTCTTCTTTCTTTGCTTTTTTCTCTCAACACTCCAACTGGGGATGTGACCACAACTTTTATCAAAGTGTAAAGATTGTAACTCTTTTTATGTTCTTGAATCGAACCCCCATTTGAGATCTTCACTAACAAGGCAACAACTTACTTTTTTCTTTTTCTCCAACTTTGAAGGGTGTGCTCTATTTACAACCTGCATTTTATTCTTCTGCAGAAACCCAGGAAGATTTTAGTTAATCCAAGTTTGAAACTTGACATTCTTGGACTAAGCATTTCTGGGTCAGTGGTACTTTTCTAAACTGTTGCCAAGATTGTTTTTTTATTGTGCTTCTGAAAGGAAGTTAAGAAATAACGATGAATTGAATCAAATGGTAGATTAGATTTTGAATGAGCTTCTGTGTGCTCTTCGTTGTTTTTGTTTAATTTCAGCTTATTGATCTATGAACAGTTGAGATTTGATTATTTTAATGTTGTTTTGTCAGGTTAAAAATATTTTTGGTAATGTTGGGTTGGTTCATTTTTTAAGGTCAACTTGCCTGATTTTGGTCCTTGTATGTTCCCTTAAAATCTTGAATAGGCAATGTGTTTGAGTTGGTAGCTACTTTTACAGCTATCTTTAGTGTAAATTTGTTATGTTTGTGTTTTCTTAGATCAAAATGACTTCTTTGTTGAAGTTGGTGCACGTCAGATGACTTCCTCTTGCATATATATTACTGCTACTGCTAAAAAAGATTGAGAGTAATGAGTAATCATGCTATTCTTACATTGAGCTCTTTAACCAGTTTCCTTTCACCAGGCCTAGGCTTTAAAGAGACGAGATATGGAGGATGGAATAGATGCTGATGTCTTGATGGACTATGTTGAATTTCAAATTTTCCCAAGCCAGAACAGGTTAGACTTTTGTTTAAATTTCAATTGGCTGTATCATTTTCAGTTTTTCTGTTGGCTTCATGAGGCTCATTAACCAGTTGGGGTTGTCGTAGCTTACTTTTAAAGCCCAGTATTTGGGGCACTTGAAATAATTCTGTAGCTTGTATTGGGTTCTATTGTTGTAAATGTTCATGCCTATTTATAGGCTTAAGGAAAGATCTCCATTGAGACTTGTGTTTTAACATTTGCTTTCACATAAGCATTCCATTGCCACCATTTGACAAGTGATGAGAGGTGTTGACAATTGTAAGAATTTACTTGTCTAATTCTTTTACTGCCACATTGCTTTCATCAGCCATGAGAATTTAACTTCTCAAATACACTTTATGTTTGGTTTCTCAAATACACTTGCAACAAATATTTTTGAAATAAATATTTTTCCTACAATCTCCTACATATTTTAAAAGAAATTAAAGGAAGAAACATTTAAATTGTTGGATTTGCATGATCCAAATGTAACAGATTTGGTGTCTTTTGAATTATGAATCAAACTTAGACTGATAAATTTTAACTAAAGTAATAGGCAATGATTATGTGATAATATGCTTATATGTTGATGACATGCTCATATTTGGTGCAAGTTTAAATATTGTGCAAAATATCAAACTACTTTTGTCTACTAATTTTGATATGAAAGATCTGGGTGGGTGAAGTAAATATGATATTAGCAATTAGTAATGTTGTCACAAGAACATTATGTGGAAAGATTTCTTAAGAAGTTTGAATGTTTTGAGGTGATACTTGTGATCACTCCTTATGATGCTAACTCTCAATTGAAATAGAATAATGGTGACCAGTTGTTCAGGGTTAATATGTTTAGATTATTGGAGTTTGTTGCATTTAATGAATTTTACTAGGCCTGATATAGCCTATGTTGTGTGTAGATTGAGTAGATATACTCATAATCCCATTAAAAAGCATTGGCTTGCATTAATTAGATTGATGAAATATTTTAGACTTTTGAGGAATCATGAATTATGGTATATTGTATAGTGGATTTCCTTTTACATTAGAAGGGTATTATGATGATTTGGATCTTTGTGTATGTGTTCACCTTAGGTGGTGGTGCAGTATTATACAAATAAGTTATCAAACAATCATTGCTAGATCGACTATGGAGTCAGCATTAGTAGCTTTGGATTTAGCTAAATCTGTGGTTGAGTGGCTAAGATATTTCTTAGTGAATATCCCTTTAATAAATGATGTCCTTCCTCCTGTGTCTATGCACTGTGATTGTCAAGCCACAATTGCTATTTCGAAGAACAAATCGTATAATTGTAAGAGTAAACACACGAACATGATATTGTTAATCAGCTGGTGAAAGATCAAATAATTTCCATTGATTATGTGAAGTCAAAAATGAATTCAGTCAATTCCATGAACACTGGAAAGAAAATTAATTCTTCAAACCTCAATAGAGACACCTATCTGCTACGCCAACATTATTATCACAGCTCTCCTGATAATAATTGTTCCTATTTTAAATATATTTTGGGTGCAGGTATGAGTCACATATCTGCTACGGCAACAAGTTAGTAACAGCGGCCTCTGGACTTCTGGAGCAGTTGATACTTCATTCTCCCAAAATCAAATCTTTGCACTCAAAGGGATCAGATGCCAATTTCAGATTTAGACCTCTAGGGAATCTTAGTGATGCTAAATGGTTTACAAAATCCACATTGATCAGGTACACTCAGCCATCATATACTTCAAACTGTCTTTTAAACTTTTTTTCTGAACTTCTGTATCCGCATACTTCAACCCTGTATTTCCAGGTTTCTTCGTATTATCAGCTCATCACCTATAATTGATATGGCCAAGGCCATGGTAAATGAAATATCTCAGCTTGAAGAAACTCGGAAATTTCATGTTTCTTTATATTCAAAGGTGATTTTTATCTTTTTTTGTATAATTATTCTGACCCTTCAATTAATCTATAGAACCTGTAACAAGCAGTATAATAATGGGCTTATTATTCCTTTAGGGTCCTCAGGATCGTATTGGGAGTGGGGAAGCAGGTTAGTCTTACTGTTCCTGCTGAACAATGTAGCCTAGATTACTTTCTCAAAAAAAACAATGTAGCCTAGATTAGTCTGTTTAACGGGATTGTGGTTGCTTCTGCAACTGTCTCTCTCTTGTGGAGTCTCAATCAGAAAAAAAGGGAAAATAACAACTAATATTGTTTTTCTTACTTCTAGCAGAATGCGATTACTCAAGTGGTGCAGTGTCATCGTTACAGCAAGTAAATTATCCATCTCTGTTTCTGGAATATTTTTTATTTATTGTCTTTTTCAGAAGTTATTGCATATACACATTGAAAGATAACATGATCTTTGATACCACTCCAGGAAGATGATAGCGCTTCATCAGATGCTTCCAAGTATGTCCCTATGACTCTTACAATTCTGAATTTCAGAAATTAATCTAGCATCTTCAAATCATCCAAATAATATAATGGTGAACAGAAATGAATTGCTGAGGGCAATGGATTTGAGGTTGACTGCTTTAAAAGGGGAATTAGCTGCTGCTTTAAACCAAGCTGCTGGCACTACATGCTCTTTTGAAGATATTCTTAACATAGAAAAGTTCTCTTACTATTTTGGAGCTGTTGAATTGAGGTAAGTCATGGTAGAACAAGTGGTCTGGAGGATCTAATGCCTTTAATCATTTTTAGCAGGCTAATGACTGCATTATGATCATGTGTTGTCTGTTTCAGGAACTGTCTGCAGAAGTTTATTGCTGTGAGCGAAGAGAACAGGGCTATTGGCTTTCCGAGTAAAGAGTTGTCCCTTTCAAAAGTTGATGTCACAAATGACAAGGTTGGTTCAGAAGGGGGCAATTCTCAAACATCTGGACCACCAAAGTTGGATACACCAGTGAAGTATAGTGCTTCCCCTGCAAAAGCTGCACAGATGGAGAGGCAAAACTCATCAGGAACTGAAGAATCTTCTTGTTCAAGTGAGGAGGAACAACCATCAGGGGAAAGAAGTCGGACTCTCATAAGATCTGCATCTCCGAGAAGGTCTGCATCTCCAATGCGAAGAGTCCAAATCGGGCGGTCTGGGTCACGAAGATCCACTGCTATAACGATTAAGAGTCTAAATTACTTTCCTGCCAGAGAAAGGTCTCTCTCTCATAAAGATGATGCTGCTAGCGGTAGTGATGAAGAAGATTCTGAGCAAACCTCAAAAAAGGCTGAGAAGAATGCCTGTAGAATGAGTGTGCAAGATGCAATCAGTCTCTTTGAGAGCAAACAGAAAGGGCAAGCTGTTGATTATCAAAGGACAAAGTCACTATTAAGTGCGTCAGTTGGTGCTAATAAAGCGGTTTTGAGAAGATGGAGTTCAGGTGTGTGTGAAAACTTTAAAGGCTCTGTTGATGTTGCTTTTGATGATCCAGTTTCCGAGGCTATCAATAAATTAGAAAATCAAGAAACTGAGACTATTTTGGAAAAGAAACCCGATTCATATCCTCCTCCCGTAAGCCATGACACCGAGGCGGCTGCTGCTGATTTCAAACAAAACTTAACTGAAGAAAAAGGATATAGTCCAAATATTACAACAGAGGGATCTCTCCCTAACCAAGATGAAGCAATGGGTGAAAAGTTAAATGCCTCAGTTGAATGGACTCGACAAAAGGAAGCAGAGCTAGACCAATTGCTTACAAAAATGATGGAAACCAAGCCTAGCAAATATCGGAACTTGGCAGCAAGTAATGGAAAAAACCAGAGCCGTTCCGCCGAGCGTCGAGGTGGTTTCTATGATCATTACAAAGAAAAGAGGGATGAGAAACTTCGTGGTGAAGCTGCTAGGAATAGAGCAGAGACGGATAAACAATTGAAAGCAATGCAACAAATTCTTGATGAAAGAAAAGCTGAAATTGTCACAGGAAATGCAAATAATGTTAGTAAAAAAACAAATATTAAGAGAACCCAGAGAACAGTCAAGAAATCCCCTGAATCCACAAATACCAAGGATGAAACTCCCAAACCTGCTGTTGCAAAGAAAGCTTCATCAAAAGCATCGCAACTGCCAGCAACACGGAAGTCATGGCCGTCTTTGCCGTCACCAAGAGTTGCAGGGATATCAACTGCTAAAACTCCTTCTATAACAAATTCTGCAGGTACTACTACACCTACCCGTAGAAGATCACAGCCAACAACAGCAGTTCCTCCGACAAGCCAAAAGGTTGAGAAGATACAACCCCAAGCAAAATCTGTGAAAACACCCCCGAGTAATATCAGAAAGAATGTTACAAATGGGAATGACAAGAAGCAGCAGACTTTGACAAAAGCTAGCAAACCTTCGAAAGCCAGAGTTCAGCCTACTCCTGGAGATTCTGCATCCTCTGCTAAACCTAGACTCGGCAGGGTAACCAAGAAAAGTAGTGTGGTGCCTCTGGAATCAAAGGAGGCAAAGCCTTTTCTTCGTAAGGGGTCAGGTACTGCATCTGGTCATAGTCCAGTCATAAAGACCAAAGTTTCATCTCAGCCTGAAAAATCTTTGAGGGAATCTACGGACTTTGTTCAAGCTGAGGAGAATGAAATTGCCTCTGTTGCTTCTAGTCCTCTTAATCAACTGCAGGACAAGGGTCTTGAGGAGTTAAAGATCCATGAAGATGAAGACTCTGCAATTAAGTTAAACAGCCCTCAAAAATATGAAGATAGGGAGAGCTGCAATAAGGTTACACCAGATAATGAAGATGATTTTGGAAGGATGGAAGAGTCTGCACTGAACAGAGAGGTTGAAGAGGAATCTAACATTTCTCCTCGCGCCTGGGTGGTGATAGAGGAGCAGGAGGATCAAGTCCTTCCATGTAATGATGGTTTTGGTCCTAATGAATCTCTGACTGATGTTACAACTTTAAAAATCTCAAGTCCACGAGTTCGTCATTCTCTGTCTCAAATGTTGCTTGAAGAAAGCAGTGAAGATGTTATTGACTGGGGTAATGCTGAGAATCCTCCTACCATGGTTTATCAGAAGGATGTGCCGAAAGGATTGAAGCGGCTTCTAAAGTTTGCTCGTAAGAGTAAGACTGATTCAAATTCAACTGGTGTTTCAAGCCCATCTGTCTTCTCAGAAGGTGAGGAGGATCCAGAGGATTCTAAACTTCTCACCAAAAGTAGTTCTGACAATCTACTGAGAAAGGCTACACTTCATGCCAAGCATTCTGGACAACCAAAAATGTCTTCAGAAGACTATGAGCTATCCGGTATTTCCTTGTACTTCACAGCAAACATTTTTATTTTCTATTCTAGTAAAACCGCTTTAGTTGTCTGTAAGTTTGTTGCTTGCATTTGAGATCTGTTTCATAATTCTACTATCGGTAAACCTTACATAGACCGGATACTTGCAGCTCAAACAAGTATTGGCAGAATTGCTGCTCAGAAACTGCAAGCAAGCCGGCTTTCAGCTCCAGCAAGTACAACAAAAGGTTTTCTTCCTTTTATGTTATAAGTTGTGTCTAAATTCCTGTATTTTTGAAGATTAAACTTATAGTTATGTATATGTCCTTCATCTCCTTAATGTTTTTGGTGTTTTGTTTTTCAGCATCGAGATCATTCTTTTCTCTTTCAGCATTCAAGGGAAGTAAATAAAAAGGTGCTAACTTCCAATGAGAAAGCAACAGCAGCCCAATGCAGAGTCTTAATATTGTGACTTGCAGCTGTTGCTTCTGACTGTGGATGGGGGTGTATGGTTTTTGTTTTCCTTCTGGTGCATTATTCTCCCCCGGGTATGCTGTACACTCCAGAATACCTCACAAGTAGGGGGATTACATTGTTGAAACATTTGTCTCTGTACTTTGTAAATTCACTGTTAGAAATGTAGTTTCTTTTGTAGGATGATTGACCACATTCAATTTGTTATCTTTGCACAGAGCATTTTGCTGTTTCTGACTGAAAATTTTGCAAATATTACTTCAAGACATCTAGCTCTTTGCTTATATTTTATAAATATTGAACTGGTTTCTTGGTCTTGTTCTAGCTTGAGAGTGTTCATTCGACCCAACACCCGGCTGATGAATACTTAGGCAGTTTTAAGTTTGATGAATTAATTCCGAAATAAAATACCCTTGAGTTGTGTGGCAGTGCTTGAAGAAAGAGGAATCAATATGAACTATGGCATGCAACTTGCAAGTCATGATAGATGTGTGTAACTTCATGTTGTATTTAACTTAATTATTGTGTTTGATTACTCAGAAATCATATTGAATCATTATGATTTTATAGCTATAAACAAAAGAGAAGATATATTTTAGAATGATGGCATGCAAGTAATGACAAATCGATACGTCTTTTTGTTATATTCAATCTAGCTAGTTATCATTTTGGATAATTCACATTTTTATGATATCAACTTTTCACTCTTGGTACCTCGTGTACCTCTTTTCATTTTTTTTATTTCATTCACGGTACCTCTCTTGGCGCCATTTCTTTTTCTTGTCATTCATGTACCTCTCTTTTATTTATTTCACTTTATTCATGCTACATCTTTTTTACGATTTCAAAGCTACAAACAAAGAAGGTACAAATACATTTTAAAATTGTGTCATGTTATTCATGACAAATCGATATGAATTCATGTTATATTCAATATATTTATCATGTTGAATTACTGACAAACCATCTTGATTAGCCATAATTTCAAAGCTACAAATAAAGAAGTTTGTGTCATTCAAGTCAATCATGTCGAGGCAGGGGAAAAAATGCCATATATGCTTTTCACTATAACAGTGAAGATAGGATCGCAATGGAATAAGAACATCAAAACACTTATAGAAGCTTAGGATATGTTCACGATAATTTTTATGAACAAGAATGGCGCACGATCACAAAGACTTGAAAATGAGCTTTTGTTGATCTCATAATGGAATATGACAATCAGTCAATACTTTCAAAGGTAAAAAAATTATACAATGAAATATAACAAATTAGATCCAGAGAAAGCTATCACAAGGACAATCATAGTTTGAAGCCGGAGTATAAAAGTATATTTATAGTTAAAAATCTGTTGACGAATGAAGAAGAGTTGTAGAAGCCATGATCAAGCGTCTTCATAAGAGATGAAGATAAAGACACTCTTTCAGCAAGACAGCAACATGCATGACTATCGAAAAAAAAAGGATATTTTTCTTTATTTTTCCTTTAATGCATCATTAAATCTATTATTGAAGAATGACCATTCATTTATTTCGGTGCCTCATTATATTGATTGTACCAATCCGTGAAGCATGTTGAATTTTGTCCAAGAAGAAAAGTTTTTTTGCAACTTACGTTTGTAAGTCAGGTACACCTTCCATTTACTTTTACTTGTCCACTTAGAATTTTGCACACCGCTTAAGAATAATAATTAATATAAGTATTTTATCACAATATTCATAATTGATATGTAGTCTTTAAAATTGGGAAATGATTTGAGAGAAAAGTAATTTATGCTAAGGTTTAACATGTAAAAAGTAAAAATGAACATTTAATTAGTTTTAGTGTAATGGACAACTAAAAGTGAACAGACATGTCAATCAACTTTGTTAAGGACATTTTGGTACGTCAACTTTTCACTTGGTGCTCCCACTTTCATATATGGTGATGATATGTCAATCAAATATACACTCCCATGTTCATGGTGAAGAAATGTGTTCAGGACAGTTCAGAAAGACATTCATCAAGATCAACAAACAGGCAGCAGTTACATAACCTGTGACCGGGACCAGCTTAACTCCGTCGAAGAATGAAAGTATGAAACTGATTTAAGTGTGGATTTTACTTGGTGAAGGAGATAGATCATACAAGTACAAGCAAATTTTTACTTTACAGCTTAGTTCTTTGAGCACTCAACGGGATAAAATGTGACTCTAATCAGCATCTTGTCTACCTTTAAGATGTCGCAAATATGGATATATTTCATCTGCATGTGATCCATAATATCGAGAAAGTATTGCAGTGATTCTGCTTATGCTACCGGAAGCAGCAGAGTCACCCACCAGTAGCTGAAGGGAGGCAAGCTTGATCAATTCGTTTCCAATGGCAATGTGGTTGGCACCATAGAGTTTTTCCAAGATCTGCTTACAGCTCATAAAACATCAATCAGATTATTATTTACATGAAACTCCGGTAATATTGATATTAACTGTAAACTAAAGTTTTTTTTCCCCATTCTGATAAGATGATAACTGCAAACTGAAGTCTCTAATTCATTCCAAAAATAAGAAAATACAAATATAATGTGCTCACACAATCCAAATAAAAAGCCATTAAGCAGTAACTTAGAGCTATTGCTACTCAACATCTATTCAAGAGCCCAGTTTCTTAATTAGCATTCGCTTGACAGCTTATTAACACTGGCATATGAAAGCACTATGTCAATGGATATGATGGTGAATAATGTATCTTCCCCAAGATGTAAGTGTAAACAACAAATTTTCGAGCCGAGAAAATAAATAATCAAGACAAGAAAATTGGAGTAACAAAGTGTAGTATTTAATTTCAAAATGAAGTGTGTGTTACACTCTAAAATATGTTAGACTTGAATTAGAGTCAAGGGCTTGAATAGCTTGACCTTGAATCATGGTCTTCAAACTTGGATTTGAATTATTCGTCACGAACACTTGTATGGTTATGACAAATAATGAATATGAACAAGTAACTTGATATTTGCCTTTGAACATGAACTTGCAGCCTTTGATCCATGAGCTCTCTTCTTGAAAAACCCCTCCTTCTGAGAATAATGAGGATCCCTATTTATAGTTGTAGGGGGTGGTGTGCCTATGGGATTTGATTGATCGATCTTAACTGACCAATCATATTCCTCTAATGAAAAGCTTTGATTTGATTGGTCGGAACATGTAGCATATACATGTGGCATTATTCTAGTGGCTCATTTAATTTGACTTGGATTGCCACATAGTTTTGACACGTGACATGATTCTAGTGGCTTATTTAATTTGACTTGAATTGCCACGTGACATGATTTTAGTGGCTCATTTAATTTACTTGGATTGCCACATAACTTTGACATGTGGCATAATTCTAGTGGCTTATTTAATTTAACTTGGATTGCCACATAAAGTGGCTCATTTAACTTGGATTGCCACATAAAGTGGCTCATTTAACTTGGATTGCCACATAACCTTTAAATTTAATATAGTCCAAATTAAAATCTTAAGAGTCCAATCATCTAAATCAGGAAGTACACAGAGAAGCATACTGACACCTAATGGCGTACCTACAAGCAATTTGGTCTCTACTTCACTATCCTTATGATCCGATATTACAAGGTATCGCGACTTGGAAGAAGAGAAGTAAACCATGATTCAAACTACACAAAAAAAAGAGGACAAGTGTTTTATTAGCACTTAAGTTAGTAATTCAATAATCAAGGTTATGAATCCAGATAATGAATAATTGTTTCTTTGAGTACGAATTATGCATAGTCTAAGCGATGTAAAGTCTTTGGCTCAAGATGATGTGATGCTTTCGGCTTAAATCATGTAATCTTTGCCTTAGACAGTGTAAAGTCTTTGGCTCGGACGACATGATGCCTTCAACTTAAATCATGTAAAGTCTTTGCCTTAGACAATGTACAATCTTTGGCTCAAACAACATGATGTTAAAAAAATGTAATGTCTTTGGCTTAGACGACATGATGCCTTAAACTTAAATCATGTAGAGTCTTTGCCTTAGACGATGTAAAGTCCTTGGCTTGGATGACATGATTCCATCATCTTAAAACACGTAACGTCTTTGCCTTAGACGGTGTAAAGTCTTTGGTTCGGATGATATGATGTCATCAGCTTAAAACATGTGAAGTCTTTGCCGCAGATGGTGCAAAGTCTTTGGCTCAGACAACATATGCCTTCAGCTCAAATCATGAAAAGTTTGTCTTAAGAAGGTGTAAAGTCTTCGCCATGAGCCGTGTATAATCATTGGCTCAAACAATGCAACACTTTTGGCTCAAATAATATAAAACTTCGGCAAACCTAAAGTAATATTTTTCTACTTGTGAAATAAAGGGAAAAGGAAATCATAGATTGGATGAATAAAAGAAAATTGACGAAAGCAAGACCAAGAATATAGATTGACTTTTGTTAATGAGTTAATAGACACTAAATTTGTGACTATAATTCGCGTAACTCATTAACAGAAGTCAACCTATATTCTTGGTCTTGCTTTCGTTAATTTTCTTTTATTCATCCAATCTATAATTTCATTTTCCCTTTATTTCACAAGTAGAAAAATATTACTTTAGGTACGACGAAAAGTTATATTATTTGAGCCAAAAGTGTTGTATTCTTTGAGCCAATGATTTTACATTACTCATGGCGAAGACTTTACACCGTTTAAGACAGGCTTTTCATGGTTTGAGCTAAAGGCATCATGTTGTCCGAGCCAAAGACTTTGCACCGTCTGCGGCAAAGACTTCACATGTTTTAAGTTGATGGCATCATATCGACTGAGCCAAAGACTTTACACCGTCTAAGGCAAAGATGTTACACGTTTTAAGATGATGACATCATGTCGTCCGAGCTAAAGACTTTACACCGTCTAAGGCAGGCAAAAACTTGAAATGATTTAAGTTGAAGGCATCATGTCGTCTGAGCCAAAGACTTTACACCGTCTAAGGCCAAGACTTTACATGTTTTAAGATGATGGCATCATGTCGTCTGAGCCAAAGACTTTACACCGTCGGCAAATATTACATGATTTAAGCTGAAGACATTACATCATCTTGAGTCAAAGACTTTACATCACCTTGACTATACATAATTTGCGCTCAAAGAAACAGTTATTTATTATCTAGATTCATAACCTTGATTATTGATTGACTAACTTAAGTGCTAATAAAACACTTGTCCTCCTTTTTTTGTGCAGTTTGAATCATGGTTTACTTCAAAGATTTGACGTCCTCTTCTTCCAAGTTGCGAT